GGTTTCCATCACAGATGTTAGTTGGAAGAGTTCATCCGAGAGACGAAAAAGTTGGTCGAACACAAGACCGCAAACGTACTAAAGTTGGTGCGAAGCGTGTTACGGCAGAGCGCCACCCAGGCCTCTGTGAAATTCCAAAGCAGTACAAGTCTGAACCACACGAGGATTACAACATATACACGGCGTTCAAGGCACTGCATACCGATCGTCGTGGAAATGGCGGATTGCGTGCATGTGATATCAAGATACCTAGGTATTACAGAGAGGCAATGAGGTCCAAGCAAGCTCATTTGTGGCAAGCTGCAATGGACGAAGAAATCGCTGCACTCAAGTCCAAAGAAGTTTTGGAGCAGATCCCGAGAGAAATGATGCCAGCAGGGCAAAAGACAATCAAGACCATGTGGGACTTTGACGTAAAGACCGATCACTTAGGCTACATAGTGAGATTCCGAGCACGTGTGGTTGCACGAGGCGACAAACAACGGCGTGGAATTGATTTCACGGACACATTCTCTCCGGTGGCGCGAATGGCGACATTCCGGATGTTTGTTGCGGTGTGCATGATATTGCAACTAGTAATCTACCAAGCAGACATTAATACAGCCTACCTCAATGCGGCACTAGGCATAAAGCAATACCTGGAAGAAGTCGAGGGCTATCCGTGTGAAGACAACGGGATGATTTACATCATCAACAAAGCATTGTATGGCCTACGCGAGTCAGGCAGAGAGTGGAACACTGATGTGAACCGCTGATTCATCAACTATGGCTTTGAGCAATGTGAGACTAAGCCATGTCTCTATTTCTACAATCGAGATGGCGAGTTTGCAATCGTTATTCTTTACGTTGATGATATTCTATGCGCAACCAAGAACGTGGAGTTCAAGAAGAAGATGTTCGATGCGTTGAATGAAGATTATGGACTGAAGGATCAAGGCCTACTGAACACTTACTTGGGTGTACAGGTGGAGCATAATGAAGACTCAATTAAAATACATCAAACGAAGTACTGTGAAGACATCATTGAGCGCTTCAAATTTAACGACGCACATCCTAGTAGGATCCCTATGGACTTCGATTGACTGTCAAGGATACATACACAGACCGACGCAAACAAGTGGCTGCGAACGGCAAAACATTTCCGTATCGCGAGTTAGTTGGATCACTGATGTACCTGATAACCTGCACACGTCCAGATCTCGCATTTGCCGTAAGGCAACTGAGCCGCTACGTACAGAAGCCAACGCAACAGCATATTCGCGCAGCCAAGAGAGTGCTGCGGTACCTGATTGGTACCAAAACGCAAGGGATCGTATACACGAAAAGAAAAATATTAGAGCAGAAACCTGAACTGATTATTGACGGCTATTGCGACTCGAATTGGGGAAACGACCCCGACACGCGCAAGAGCATCACGAGTTTCGTGCATTGCATGGCAGGTGATGCGATATCGTGAGCGTCTAGACGCCAGAGCGTTGTTGCTCAATCTACCGCAGAAGCGGAGTATGTTGCGGCATGCGAAGCATGCATGGAAGGCCAAGGGCTACGCAACGTACTGATTCAAGTATTACCAGAGTTAGTGACTAGTTTTCGTATGGGTATTGACAACCAAGCTGCGTTCGTTATGGCGACAAACCCAATCTATAGTCACAGCAGGCGAGATATAGAGTCGCACTGGCACTTTGTTAGAGACCAAGTGGCGAAACGAACCGTGCATTTGTGGAAGGTAAGGACTGAAGACAATCCTTCGGACACCATGACGAAGCCCGTGGCCAGCGACCGACTCGAGCCATTGAGTGCGATGATTGGTTTGTCC